AGCTGGGACACAAACACATCACCTCCCCGGGTGCTGCTGATGGCATCAGCTGAATGAATGGGAGCAGCAGCAGGAGTGAGCCTGCCTGGATGCTCTGGCCAGACACTGCTGTCAGACAAGAGCCGCTCTGGAGGCACAATGGTCCAGCTGCACTGTATTGATCAGCTGCGTTTCTGTTACACTGCCTATTCCCAACCACTATTATAACTGGCTGCTGGGAACTGCCAGCATCAGAAATAGCTCCTCTTGGGAGGTCCTGAGATCACTCACATTTGTTTCCTCTGCATTAGGAAGGTAGCAGAGTCCCAAAGGACGGAACAGCACCTAGAGGTACGACTTTAAAAGTGATGGACACGCTCAGGAGCAGTTCCATTGACACCAAGGGGGCTGGCAGGACACTGGGACAGGGTGCCCATCGAAGCTGTGGCTGCGCCATCCCTGGCAGTGTTCAAGGCCAGGTTGGACACAGGGGCTTGGAGCAACCTGCTCTAGTGAAGGTGTCCCTGCCTGTGGCAGGGGTTGGAACTGGATGAGTTTAAGGTCCCTTCATACCCGAACCAGGCTGGGATTCTATAATTTTATGAACAGGGGGCAGCATCTCTCTGCTAGAAAACTGTAAAGTTTCATTTCTGGCTTTATTGCCTATTCAGTGGAGATGAAATAACACATTAGAAAGTTTCTCCATCACAGGTCACACAACCCATTTCCCCTCTACCCCTGTTCTCCAGAGCTGACAGGGTTTTAGGAGCCCTGGTGCTGCAGCAGGAGGTTTTTGAGCACCAGCGCTCAGACACGTCTCCCTTCCCTGTGACCAAGGACAGAAGACTTTGGTACAACCAAGTAACTGGGAAACCTTGGCTGTGCTCCTCCCTGCTAGCAAAGCTGCTGAGCAGGGAAGCCGAGTCCACATGGGAAGTCTCATAGGCTCAAAAGCTCACCTGGGAAAAGTTCTAGTGAGGATGATGCTGAATCACAGGAGGACATGACCCTACCAGTACCTCCCCACCTCCCTGGGGAACGGGCAGTGCATGTCTGCCCCATGACAACATTTACAGGGTGGGTTTAGTCACTTCAGTCCCAGTCTCCACTTCAGGAGCACTGAGCTGCCTCACAGGGGCAGTGTTTGCTCTCCTGAAGTGGGCTTCATGTGGCACCGAGGGACGTACCTTCACCCCTTCGTTGTAGCTGTCCACGGGGCTGTTGAGGCTGGCGAGGCTGCCCAAGTGCCCAGGGGCTCCAGGGCGAGGAGGTTTCTTTGGCGGAGCTGCGTGATCTGGTTAATGCAACAAGAGGCATTTTAGAGGAGCAACGTGTCAGATGTACCTGCAGAGCTCTGGTCTGTCAGCACTACAAAGGCAGTTATCTGTGCCTTACCGCGCTAGCAGAGGAGGTGCACATCTGTATGTATCTTACAGGTACCAAAAGACACTTCAGAGCTCCCTTTGTGGGGTGAGTGCTGCTCATCTCAGTACACCTCCCCAGAGCTGACTGGTACTCACCCCTCCGCACCACACACGTCTATGTCTGGGGAAATCAGACCTCTTCATGGCAGGAATCCTGGCTGTGATTCATTCTGACACTGAGAGCCCCAAATGTAGGAGTCTACTTTTGTTTGACAAGTCTGAACTCCCCACATGCTGGAGTCCTACACAGTGATTCAGCTTCCTCTAGACACTCCCCGCCTGTTGATCTAAACACTTCTTGGCTTTGCTGACTGCATCTCTGGAGCCCAAACACTTTGTGCATCGGAACACCTACGTGCAGTTACCTGGAAATGAATCCACCCCTAGTATGAAGATACTGGCATAAACCTTTGCTCACTGCTGCTGCTACAAGACTTGTGATCAAGGATTCAAGATGACAGTGTAGGAACTTACTGCTTACCTGGTTTACCCACGGGCTGATATATGTGCTGGTTACCAGCCTGTAAAGTAAAAATACACATTTAGATCAGCTACTGCAGTGCTCATAACTTTCATCAGCACAATCTCAAACACTGCAAGCAGCCCATTTCCCAACAGTGAAATATAAATCCCCATATGGAGAAGGCTCTGGGGAGACCTTAGAGCAGCTTCTAGTACCTAAAGAGGGCTTTAAGAGCAAGACTTAGCAGAGGGGCTGAGTTCACTTGGTGTGCTCAGCTTGGAGAAGGCTGAGGGGCAGATCATGTCCTGTCAACTTAAAGCTTTAGAGCAGAAATGTGACGACCAGAAATAAAGCAGCGTCTTCCCCCTGCCTAGTGCAGGTCTGTAACTGCAGACTTCAAATCAGATTTCACTTTCAGGAATCAGGGGTAGGAACCAAAGATCCAAAGTCCTGGAACTCTTCTGCTGCCAGGAACCTCTGAAACCCACACCCACACTGTCCTACACCTGCCCTCTATAGCTGGAAAATCCATCTGCTTCCTGCCAGCACCATCAGTCGTGTCATTAACTCTGATTTGGGTTGTTAACCTGAGGATTTCCAACCTGATGACCCTGGGGAGAAGAAAGGGGAGGAGAGAGGAAGGAGAGTAAAATTCCACTAAAACAATTCCTGAATCTCTGCTTTCAGAAAGTGGCACATTTGAAGTGAGTGTCGATGTGCACAGAGTTACACATACAGCCACGTGCACAGCAGTTAGGGACTAATGAAACGTGTGTGGCAACTCAGCATTTGTATCATCACATCCAAGTACAGGCTCGTGTGTTATTGCATCTCCCACTCAGTGTCCCTGAACTGCAGGCACTTCTCCAAGCAGGAATCAGAGCTGCTGTGCTTCCTGCTCTACACTCCTCCCAGTATCACAACTACTCAACCTTAAAGTCACTTTGTGGGAAGATGTAAACGACCTCCATGCACTGGATTCTGTCCTTGTCATTGTCACAGAAATCTGTGTGCAACACTGGGCAATTATTTAATCCCAGTTCTCCTAGAAATAACCACTATCTATTTCTCACCCTCTCAATGAGCAATCCAGACTGACTCACAGAAGCACAAGACATTTCCCACTGCAAACAAAATCAGTCAGAATGAGGTTCTGAATGTATTAAGAGCTATAAAAATGCAAAGTCAAATTCCGGAACTAGAAATGCAGGTATCACAGATTAGAAGTCTCTTTTATAACTCATTTTGTCAATGATCAGTAAGTGTTTTCTTCACACTCTTTCAAATGGGGGTTGATATTAGACTGCCTCCTCCAGGAAGACAGGACTTCCCCTTCAAGCAGTTTGGCATCTGGGTGTTGGAACCTTAACTCTAACCCCAGGCAGTCCTGCTGAAATCCAGCAGCAGCCGGAGAAAGCAGCTGGCTGCAAGCAGTACTTGAAAGTACCACTGTGGGCAAGTACCCAGTGCCACTGACCTGCACCCTATCAAACCTCTGACACGACTTCAAAACCTCACGTTACCTCAAAGCATCCTCATGAGCAGCACTAAATGCAGTGATAATTTCCTGGCTCTTATATAAAGATGCAACAACAGCAAAGACAGAACAGTAACTAACATGGTTCTGCCTCCAAAAAAGCCTCTTCCAGGCATGGATGTCTCTGGAGACCACGCTGCAGTGTGTCATTAACACACTCATTCATGACTGTGCTTTGGCTGCAAGCGCAGGAAGAGCCCCTAAATTCTTCTGTAGTGAGGTACTGAAGCCAGACCAGGAGTTTACAGTCACACCCCAACTGAAGCAGGGGAGTGAATTTAACTATTACACTACTTAAAGGTGACCCCTGAAGACAAACAGTGGATGAAGCATGAGGCTTCTATCAACAACAGTCCTATGCCTAACCCCCCCCTTTACATCTGTGTGATGCAGAGTCCAATGGCAGTTTAACAACTGGAGAGACGGTTTTAGTTAGACAGGAGGGAAACCAGTCAGAAAGAATTCCACAGCTGTTGTCTGGCAATAAATGAATGGCTACGGGGATTATTCCATTTGTTTCATAGCGGATCATCTACCCCAAACAGACTGCTGGGTAATACAACAGCAACATTTACATTCCTTGTAAGAAAAACCCTTTGGATATTTAAACAACTGCAGAAGTTATTTTATTCCTGATTCCTGCTGACAAAACTTCCAGAAAATTATCCCCACTTTTAAGGAAAAGGCCCAGGTCTGCTGCATGTGAACACTGAAAAATCCATTTCGTATTTGTTTCAACAGCAGCTTTGAGGGGAAAAAGACCCAACAAACCTCAAATTCCCCAAACCACTGCATGGACAAGTTTGCCACGGCTGCTGCTCCCACAGAAACGGAGCCTCTGGGAATACTGCAGAACCACGTAATGATAGCGGAAACACTGAGCAGGAGCTGTAAATCATCCCCCACCATCAAGACAGGGTACACGCTCCACCAGGAAACTGGAGAAGGAGGTGGGAGATGCGAGGATCCCACACATACTTACTGGGCCCTGGAGACCTCCGTCCTCTCGGTCGATGCTGCTTCTGGAGAGCCGCACATCGGGTTTCTAAAACAAAGGATCAAGGTTTCATTCCGTGCTTTGCTCAACTGATTCATGTAACTGAGACTCCAAAGCATTGTAAGGACAGGGAAACGCTGTTAAAAACTGATGCTGACAAACACAGATGTTATTTCATCCCAGTCTATGGGATCTGCACCCCTGGCAGCCTCCTCAGCTGCTCCTCAACCCCAACCCCAGTGCATGTGTGGAAATGCTGGTCAGAAATAGTGACAGTACCATCTCCCTGCCACAACACTGGAAACCTGCATTTGGATTCTCTCAAACACAGCAAAAAGTGGGTTTAAAAATGAAGTCATCTGCTTCCCAACAGCGGAATTTCAACCACGGGACGAGAAATGCCTCACATTAATTCCCGCTTCCTGACTGAGGCAAATGGGGCCGATTACTGGAGCTCTTTAAAGAGTGCATTTGGACACAGAAAGCTAATGAAGACATCCAAATGCACTGTCCTCCTGATACAAGGAGCAAGTGGATTTTTCTTTGATATGTTTTAAGTGAGACACACAGAATCTGGTCATCTTCCTCCTGTTCCCAGCATATCATAGACTCATAGAATAGTTAGGGATGGAAAGGACCTTAAGATCATCCAGTTCCAACCCCCTGCCATGGGCAGGGACACCTCCCACTAAACCATGCCACCCAAGGCTCTGTCCAACCCAGCCTTGAATCCAGGTATATTTATTCTTTGAGGACAACACTGATTACATGGAAAGACAAAGGAAGAGTGGATGTGAAACAAAGGTTAGAGCCAATCTGAAGACCCAGGTTTTCTAAGCGCACCAATTCTGGCACATAAACACAAAAAAGGATTTATCTGAGTCTTTAAGTCGCTATTCTATGAGCCTGGATGAAGAATTAATGAGAACGGGTTCATTCCAGATCTACATCAGTGTAATACAACTTCTTTCATACGTCTGTATGTGTAATACATAAAATGGACACACACAGCATGAGAATGAACATCTTCTATGTAGAGAAATGTTCTCTCAGGGGCAGTTTTGGAGGACAAATATATCTGCTTCTTCTTTACACCTACTCTAGATCCCTCTCCTTTCCTTCTAGACGCACTAAACGCACAACCTGCTAAACAGATCTAAACAGCCAGCAGGGCAGATGGAACCTGCAAAGATGAACTAATATTGCTCTTTTATCATTAAAACCAGTCCAGTTGTGCTGTGGTCTGTCAGAAGGGTTTATCCTTTGGATTTTCATTCAGCCCTCCACTGACTGAGTGAGGCACTGCCAGAGACAGTCACTGCCTGAAAGAACTTGCAGCTGAAAACCAGACAAATCATAGGAGACAGGGAAATACTGAGCCCCATCTTAAACAGGGAGAACTGAAGCAGACACAAGCAGGAGCTTTCCCAATGTTCTGCCAGGAATTTGTGACAAATCTTATGATGAAACCTACCACTGATTAATTTCCATTAGATTTCCTTTATTATGATGGATTTTTTACATTTAAAGTCTCACTTGATACCGGTTTGTGAGATACTTCATTAGATATCCAAAGTAAGTCACGATTCTTATGTTTTTAAGCTGAAACAAACAGCTATCCTTGTTCATCTAAGCATACAACTAACTCAATTTCTGTTACACTGATGTTCACAATTTGCCTTTGTTTCATGTTCACTTGTGGTCAGGGAAGTGCCCGAAGTCTCTGGAAATAACCGAAGACTATTTAACCACATGGGGTTTGAATCCTCTCTGCACTTTTTACTCCAGAAATACACCTAAAGCAGACACTCCAAAGGTAACGAAATACTGAGCATTGTAAAGATTCAGAAACACAAGACCACGCACTAGTCCAAATCACAGACTGTTTTCCTGTATTGTAAGGCAGAAGTTGAATTAACAGGCACAATATCCATCTCCTGCCCTCCCTGTCTTACTAACAAGGCCTTCCCTTTCAGCATCTAAACTCTCTACGCACCCAATTCTACAACCTCACATCACAACTACTCAACTCACCAGCAGCAGCAACTGTGCAGCACAGGAGCAGACTTCAGGACATCCCATACAGGATACAGGCACCCAGCTACAGTCTAAGCATTGTTTCATGGAAAGGTTGTAAATACACATAAAATATGACTAAAATGAGCATTATTAACTTTACACACACTTGCTTCACACACTGTAAACCAACATAAGGAGCCCTGCTGATCACCCCCAGGCAACCATGGACGGTGGTGGCGTTGCCCAGGCTCTCCAAGAACCCGATCTGAAAACAAAGACACCAAGTGCCAACCGGTAATGGCAAACCAGAGGGTCCACGAGCAGCCTGCACAGCTGCACAACCCACCTGCATCTTGGTCATCTGCATATTGGCATCTTAAAAGTAAGGAGATCTAGGATCAAACCCCCAGTGTATTTTAAAGTCTTACGTAGCAGCAATTCTTATGCTTCTAAGGTGGAGAGCTTTAACTGCTGCCCCTCATGCTGGCATTAAACAGCAACAGACTGCTGAACTTTAAATAGTGAGATCCTTCAGATGTGAATAGTGCAACACTGTCTAGATCAATCCATAAAAGACTGTTCTGACCTGTTCTGTACTTTACATACCATTTTACAGCATCTTCCCAGAGCTGCCTCTTGTCCAGGCTGAAGCTAAACAGTGGCCAACTGATGACAAACCATCTCCCAATGAGTTTCATGCTCCTAGTACAGTGGATCTTCTCAAGCATAAAACTAAAGCATGTTTATTGTGGAAGTGCCAACTGTGCTAAACTAAAATCAAAGTTTAAATAAAGTCTTTTCTACCTCTCAGAATCACAGAATGATTTGGGTTGGAAAGGACCTTAAGATCATCCAGTTCCAGCCCTCTGCCATGGGCAGGGACACGTCACACTAGACCATGCAGCCCAAGACTGTCCAACTTGGCTTGCTATATTCATTACAGATACATACTTAAGGCAGGCACTATATTGTGTTATAATCTTGCAGAAAATCAAAACCCTTAAAAAGTCAATGGATTTTTCCCTAATAAAAAGTCTTCCATCTGAAATCTCCAGAACCGTGTAGAGGACTTTTAAGACAGGATGCCTGTGTTGACAAACTGGAACATCATCTACTTTAGTTCCAGTATTACTGGTTACTCACTAATAAAAGAACATGTAAGTCTCAGCATTCCCAGGCCATGCCAGATTATAATGTCTTGATGGGATTTTCTCAGGCTAAAAAATGAAACCTTATTTTAGCAGCAGTTCACATCCATTCCATTTGAATTGCAGTTCTCAGTGTCAGAAGAGGGCAAAACCACAACTATGTGGGAATTTCAGTAAAAAAAACAGCCCCAAACCCGATAAGGAAACTATGTTAGTTATTTCTTCTTAACCTATCACAGGAAAGGACTATGCATTTCTCGGAACCATGTTGCTATATATATCACATATATCTCTTTATTCTATGTGATTAAAAATCATGCCACATAACAGCAATAAGGCCACAAAAAAAAAGGTTCAAACTGGAAACTAAATATGAATGAGGAAGCAGGTAATTAACCAGAAGAGTTCTGCAGTGTTCAGAGCTAGTCAGTGACAGTGCCAAAAGTCACAGCATAAAGTCACTCACTTCACTCTACTGCTGAACTTCTAAGGGCACCCTGAAAAGATACAGGATGATAGCTTCTTTCCCTACAACTTCTGCAAAGCAAACTAACTCACTCCTGGCTCAGGAGGCTCTCGTGGCATCACCACCACTGGTTTCCTGTCTGTGGTTACAGGTGATTCTGTCCAAACCCACAGCTGGAAGCATTCACAGGGAGGCATCTGAAATTGTTTTAACTCAATGATTGGTTTAACTCAATATTTGCTTTTAAATTAATTCTGTACACAAAAAGTCAGGGCTGGAAGACTGAGACACACATGCTGCGGCTCTAACAGTTATGTGATTCTTACCGGCTGATTTTGTGTGTGAACAAAGACTACAGAGGAAAGCTAGTGCTGGACATAAGTGCACGTATCACAGCATGCACGCCAGACTGCAGGGTAATGGGCTGAATCATGGAATGGTTTGGGTTGGAAGGGACTCCAAAGCTTATGCCACTCTAATCCCCTGCCACAGGCAGGGACCCCTTCCACTAGAGCAGGGTGCTCCAAGCCCCTGCGTCCAACCTGGCCTTGAGCACTGCCAGGCATGGGGCAGCCACAGCTTCTCTGGGCACCCTGTGCCAGCGCCTCAGCACCCTCACAGGGAAGAGCTTCTGCCTAAGATCTAATCTCAATATCCCCTCTGTCAGTTTAAAGTCATTCTCCAACTTGTCCTATCTCTTCATGTCCTTGTAAAAAGCCCCTCTCAGTTTTCTTGTCATCCTGTTTAGGTTCAGGAAGCCTGCTGAAAAGGCTCCCTGAAGTCTTTGCTTCTCCAGGCTGAACAACTCCAGCTCTCTCAGCCTGTCTTTTAGTTTCAGCAGTACACGCCAGCAGTAGAGGCCATTCACGACTGTGGAGCTCTGCTTCTGGTGATGGAGGTTGTTCATTCTGCTTCTATATGCCATTATGCACAAGTAAAATCTTGATTAATCTTCATCAATTTCATTTTTTAGGGTAGAATCTAAAAATAACTCATGAGAAAGTGCAGAATGAGACTTCATGAATTTCTTGTGCTATTGTCTGTGTGTAACAGTGCAAGAAGGTATCCAAATGTCTCAGGATATAAATGAGTGAAAACCTCAGCCCAGGAGACTGCAGCACATAACACTCCAGACAGTAAGACTCCTTACACAGGCAGCCAGACTTTCACTTGTTTGATGTGACTTGTCTGTACCGGAACCATCGTACCCCTCCACCTGCATAAGCCTGAACAGAGACCATCTTCACCAGTGACCTGCATCAAGCTTTAAGCTCAGTGTTTACTGCTTTTAGCTTTGGCTTCCTCAGAATAATTCAGCTATTTCTGTCCTCCTCCTTGGAGATGCTGACACCCAAAGCACTTTTATCAAAGGACCATGAAAGCCCCAGGGTCCATTAAGGCTATGAGACTAGTATGAAACATCCCCTGTCCTGAGGAAAAAGTGCCCACCCCCCAGTTCTCCTGATGGATTTAGTTGTACAATTTAAAATTGAGCACTTCTTTACACTTCAGTTTTTCCACAACAGATTTCTTTTCATTCAGGAGTTTCCCATGAAGAGGATTCTGTTTGTTTTCTCTTTTTTACAGCAGAATTCCAGTATTCAGGACTCTCTAAAGGCTGCAGCTTGCAAACCAAATTCCTCCTTTCAAGTATCGAGCCACATGTTCTCAAAGGACCACATTCAGGCAAACTGCTTACACAGATAACAACCTCCCCAAAGACTGGCCAATTTCCATTTCAATGCCACTGCAATTTAATTCTTCATCTGGGGTGTCTCTTCTAGCACACAACATCAGTTACTGTTTATACACGTACTAACAGGCTTTCAGTTGTATTTTTTCCCTGTAGAAGCAGCAACCCAGCCATGAGCAAGCTGGTGTTACTCTGGGGAAACAAGAACTGTACTAACAGAAACCCCACTGAGGACTTTTCTTCTTGTTGCAGTGTCTGACATTACACAGTTTGAAGTTGCTCCCCTGTGAGTCCAATTCTTCAATGGCAGGAGTGAGATGTACTGCAGGAGTACCGTGTCAATAGAGCTGCTTTTGCAAGCAGCCGGTTTGAACTGAGAACACTCCACTGCATGGTCACAGAAGTTAGA